GAAGAAAAATAAGGATGACACATATGAAAGGTTCTGGAGTAAAATATGATAGTAATGCTGTGTATGTGAATGACTGTTACCTAATTTAACAATTTTCATGTCCTGTAAATATTTAATATTAAAGCGTATTTTCTGATTTGTGACATTGGTCACATATGAGATGAGACATGTTTAATTTTATATCAGAATATTTATAGATGTAAGGAAGTTTTGATTTTGTTGCTGAATTTTACGTATTTTGAATACTTCAATTAATTACATGTGTTGGAAAATAAAAACATAGGCGTTTTGCGTTTAGTTTGGTATAAACAGTGGATTTCGACACCTACCTAGAAAGAAAAGTAGAAGAACAGCCTATTTTATTGCTAAGTATTATATTGTTACATCATATTACGGGTAACCTAAATCAATCATTTGTCGAAAGGTATATCTAGATATCTATTGAATTTAATACTCATGTATTATTAATGATTATATTGTGAATATTTTGTTTTTGAAGTTTGAATATTGAATGGTATGTACTATGTACAAAACCTTCATTTAATTTGAAATGTCATTTAGTTTCAGTTAAACCATAAATGATAAAGCTTTATATCTATATAATATTATATCATTCAATTACTATATTAATAACAATAATAATACATATTTCTATTGTTTCAGAAGCAATAACTTTCCTATACACTGGTGTAGAATCTTAAAATAAAACTAAGTCTTCCTTTTAACAATGCAAGTCGGTCTGATAAAAATGTATTTAAAAAAAATCTTATTCTCTATGTTTTTCCGTTGTTTACTTTTATAGTTTAATACATTGTTTGAATTTTTATCCAAAACTATAAAAAGGTCAGGGTTTAACCATGAGCTTTTATTAAAAAGTTGTTTAAAAAAAAAGTATTTCTTTAGCATTATTGCAGTAATTAAAAGTTACAAGACTTGATCTATTTAGGTAACGTTATATACAAACTTTTATTCTTGATCAATTGTTTTATTTTAAAAAGCGTTAAGTAAATATCAACAAACTGTAATACAGTTCATCCTATTTACTTGTGTAATTGAGTTCTTACATTTTTTTATTTTAAGAAATAAAAATAACCGAAACAATGTACTCTATTAAATAAACTGCATGATATTTGATAATAAGGATATTATAAATTTAATGTTATCTTATATTTTATTTTTTGTTTTTATCATTATAGTTTTCAGTTATTGATTAAAATTTTTGATGAATAATAAAAATTGCTTAATAATTTAACATTTCAATTTTCGGAAAATATGTGACATAATATAACCATATCTCATCATATTTTTCAATTATGCTATGTATAAATAAATGGTCAATTTTCTAAAAAGAAAGAAAATAATTTCACTTATATACCCCAGCTGTAGTACGATTACGTCCATTTCACTTATAAAATGAAAAGAAAAATTGTTAAAAGGACTAACACTTATATTTTATGAGGCGTAATCGTGATACAGAAATATACCCTATTTTTAGAAATAACATTGCAGCTGATTAAATTTGATTTTTACTTACAGGTTACATTATCAATTCACAATATACAAAAAGATCTTGAAATTATTTTAAACTACACATTTTTATACATCGCAACCATAACATAATTGTATTAAAGCATGTTTTAGTATAAAACGATTAATTTAACATTAAAATACTGAAAATGTTAAATTACTCTGTCTATAATTAAATTAGCACATACGATGTATTGAAACTTTTAAAATTAACTGATAACATTGTATTTTCAAATCAAAATATTATACATATATATATATATATAATTAAATTTAAAAAATAATATAATTAAGTAAAAAATAAATTATTCTTCAGTAACAAAAAAATAACTAGAACTAATAATATTGTATTTATACTTGTATTATAATGTATTCATATTGACTCAACTATAACAATAGCAATTTATGCATTTAAAAGTTTTGCATTTAAAAATTAAATTTATGATACACTTCTAAACCACTATCTTAATGGATTCCAACAGATATCTTTATACTTGAGTTAATAGTTTATTTACCAAATGCCGAGTTATAATCAACTATTTTATGGAACCATCCGAGTATTAAGCAAGTTTATAAATTATTATTACTTTGGATTTAAACTAAACTAGTTTTGATCGTTGCTAAATTTAAGTTTAATTTGTATCAGTTTCTATTATATATTATGTGGTCAATAATCATTAATAAATTGCTATTACTTTGATTTATAAGAATATATAAAAACAATAATTTACCTATCAATAATATTATTTACTTTTATTATTATATTTTGTTTTCTATAAATTGTATTTTAATCATACATTTGTATATTATAGGCTATTCAACCCTGATTTAAGAAACTATCAACATCTACTAACAAAGGATTTTGAATACATTTTTTCGATAACATCTAATAATGTATCAAAACTTATAAAATCGAGATATTTTGTGACATGTTGGATAGTTATATAATGAGTTATGTGATTATTTATTACAAAATTAAATATTTTGCAATTTGTAAATTTCTTAAAAGCTTTTAAAGATCTCGTATGATTCATTACTTATGACCTAAAGAGCAAATGTGGTTCGCTATACAAGTGAAATTGATTGAAATACCAGTTAAGCGTTAATATTTGTGTTTTGACAGACCTTTGAATTTAAATTATGTATAACCAACGTATCTAGTGAATAATTTATATTAGAAAAGTTTAACTAATTAAAGTTAATATATTCATTAACCTGACTTCAAACCATCATTGAATATAAATATTTTGATAACATACATTTTGTGTTTTAATATCGTGTATTATAGTAAACCAACAATATAAATATCCTATTAAATTACTTATTATTTTTGTCGTCAACTCAAACAGATAGAAAAAATAATAGTACAATTTATAACATCGAATAATCGTATATATTTCAATATACTTTTAGGTACGATTTATTCAATAGTTTTATTAAAATAATAAATAATTATTAACTTTTTTGGTATTTAATTTTAATTAGTTGCCAAATATGTATATTGTATAATCAGAGCTATACAATATACATTGTTTTTAATTTTTTATACCTATATTATTATAAATTATAATTTATAAATACAAAAAAAAAAAAAAAAAAAATCTTGCTCATTAAAATAAAAATTATAAACATTGAGATATCATAAAATAGTTAAATAAGATAAATTTAACTATCTATAAAAGTAACTATAGTATAATCAATAAAAATATTAAAATGTATAAGTTTGAATTTTTTTTATGTTTATACAAATAAATTATACCTCTAGTATGTTAATTATATAAATTACATTAATTACATTTATAATTATCTTTTCATTAAATATTTATATATGTATATATAAATGAGATTATCAGCGAAACAATAAATATATATTTTTTTAGAAAATCTTATATAAGCACTGGATTCACTAGGTTTTCTTTGGTTCACAATAAAATAATACAATATTATTTAACTTGATTAGGTACCGTAATTTAAATATTGGAAAAATTATTTTGACCCTCTATGTAAATCTAGGTTATTGATTTTATGTAAATTTTTGCTAAGTTTGAGAATAATATTTCCTCGCGCTTTTATCGAGGATTGGAATCTGACAGCAATTATTATTTAATCACCGAAGTTTTACTAATTTTTTTAGAATTTTATTAATATTTAGTATTTCGGTAATTTTATAATAACTTATTTAATTGAATTATATAGCAATATAAATATTTTTAATTTATTAAATACAGTGTTCATTAATTTAATTTTTATACATAAACTTAAGTTACTATAAAAAAAAAAAAACTATTTTATTGTATTTTATTTTAATTTAAAATTATTAAAAATAATTAAAATCCTTGTCAAAAAATAATTAAAACAAATATAGCTTTAAATAATTTCTATGTAATTGTTTTTATTTTTATTTTCAAATTTTTAATAGGTTTACATAACGCTTATAAAACTAAGTACTTATGATCTGTGATACATTTTCTTAAAAAATAAATGGTCATTAAAGTTAAATATAAGGTAATACCTTATAATATTAATACTTATACGTTATATATTTTTTTACTGAATTATAGAAGTTAGAATTAGTTGAAAAGATTTCTAAAGAAAATCTATATAGTTGTTTATATACATTACGTTAATCTGCTTAAATAAATACATAGAATGTTAAAAATGAACATAGTATTGAATAAATATTTATTTACACACACTGTTTAATAATATTTAGATTAAATGAACATTTAAAAAAATTTGTAAACAAATATAAAATTTAAAATATAAGTTGCTATAACTTCTTGCATTCATAAATTATTGTGATTCTTAAGTTTTCTCATTTTTTATTTTCTACATAATTTTTAACAATCATTGGATATACTTGTAGATTTTAGATATTATTTGGTTTTCTTGACTGCATAATTATTGTTTAGTTATTCGATATTATTTATGTTTTTAGTATTAAGAAAAAAACCCTTTGCAATATTGTCGTTTGGAATTCATTGTTATATTTACTGTAACATTTTTATATTCTTAGTGTGGGCGATATTATTTTTTTTTAAGTATAATATAATATAGAATTAAATAAAAATAATAAATTGAATATAGTTAGTATTAATTATCAAATTAATTTATCTAACGAATCAGAATACAATATTACTATTTAAGTTCCGAAACATTAGACAATCACGCAAATTTGTTTAAATAGTATAACTTATAACAATTTCACAAAGTTGATTTTTGTTTGAAACAAAAATTGATTGTTTTTTTTTTTTTTCAATTGCTTACATCATTGAGTATTATTTTTTCCACCTGGTGCGCCCTATGCATACGTACGCTATTCCGCTGCTAGTTATAGTTTGTATATTAGTCGCCTAGGCAGTGGATGTATCGATTCAACTTTAATTTTCATGACCCACGAATGTGTTACAAAACTATGTCGTACACATTTGCTCTTAAAGGAATAATCCAACAAGACGACAAAAACATAGACTATGACGGTGATGAACCGGAAGAAACAATGCGATGTCCGTATGTCATATATGTCTGTCAGAAACAATTTAATTAACAAGCAAAACGCCGTAGAGTCCAAATTTTTCACATCAGCAAATTTATGCTGGTAAGTAGTTATTTCTAGTTTGTACTTTATTGTTATAAACTTTCCATGTTAATACAAATTATGACATAAATCTACAAAAAACATTAAACAATAATAATAAAAATCGATACGTTTTTTATCACACTTAAAAACTGTGATTTTATTTTTTATTTAGCACCAATGATGTTTGTGAAGAATATAATCCCATGACACCAGAGGATTCAACTGCTTCGTGGTTAGATGTATGTATTTATGTATTAAATACACTTAAAATATTTTGCATGATCGTTAAACGGTCGATTTTTTTATAGGCGGAAGACAGTTATCAAGTCACCAATTTTCTGGATGAAGCGCAACGCATACTTCACAATGAAGAGGACTTTTCTGATGCATGTCATGATCGACTACGTTCTGAATATGAACAATGGAAACAAATTCCACATTTAAGGTCTTTATTTCCTAAATTAATAGTTTTTCATTCAAGAATTAAAATTTACGACAAATTTACAAATGCATGTAGCATGTAGCTCTTTTCAAAATAACTTAAATATTATTGCTCAGCTATTAATGACATGAGTTTTTTCACACATATTATAATAAATTAATTATATTTGTTCTATACCATTTCATTATATCGAATAAATAAATACTATTTTAATTATTATTTATGAATTAAATTTTTGTATAATAAAATAATAATCATGGTTATAAATTATTATTTATTACAAATACTTAGATGTCAAGTATGGAAATAATAGCATATGCATAATCAGCAAATATATACGATTAGATTATAAATACAATTCTCCAATATCTAAAATATTTAATAAATATACAGTATTATAATAATACATAGTAAAATATAGCTAACTTAACTTTTCACACAGTTGATAAACGTTCAATATTGGTGGAGAGATATTTTAATACATTAAAATATTGCCATATTGACCATGGTATTATTACATTATATTAAATTTTGCCTCTCCTTCAATCTTATACCTAAACCAAAAAAAACTAAATATTACTACTATGTGTAATTTACTAAGTCTAAATGAGGCTAAATACCTAACTATTTATTAATAGGTATATTTTAAATTAATGCACGATAATATTTTCATAAAAATAAAAATTGTTGCTACTAACTTTATTCTTAAAAATTTCATTCAGCTTATATTAAACATAATTTCATATCAATTAACATTTATGTATGTAATTATTGTGCATATTTTATATTATGAACCGTTATATTAGTTACAAAATAATATTAAATTACAAAATGGACCAAAGACCTTGACGTACATAAATAGTCTATGTAAAACGCCGTGTATTATTATTTCATTTATAAATCTAAATAAAGTCGAGAGGGTATACAAATAGTATTTTACTAAATTCGTGTTAAAATGCGTACCTCTATAATCATACTTATTCAATTATTTATATAAAAATCTTAATATTTCAAATGATTTAGGATGATATGAGTTAAATATATTTCTAAATTAATACCTATAATAAATAATTCAATATTATTTTTCAAGTAGGTACTTATTATATTTAATAATGTTCATCAAAATAACAAAAATAATAAAAACGAAAAAAACGAAAAAAAAATGGAAAGTAAAAATAACAATACCTAAAATAACAAAGTAATAATAGCGAAACTTTAAAGAAAATATATAATTTACATACAATCCATAGCGAATAAATTCAATTAGCTAAATACATGGGTTGTGACAATAATATTAAGCTTACAGAATTTATTAGGAAATAGTTCATTGGGAATAATTAAGTATAGGCAGTCATAAAAGTAGTATGCGATAAACTCGCATCATAAGCTGCGTTCTATAATCGATAAAATACGATCGATATTGATAATAACAAAAATATAGGTAAGGAAGTGCATACGCGTTGTCTGTGCAAGTGTGATGAGATTTCAGAAATACAAAGAAATTTGAAATTTAACTTTAGAATCTTTTGATATTTTTTATTTTTTTTTTTTTTTTTGCCTTAGGTAAATTTAATCTGTGGTGCATATTTTTAAATAAGTATAAACAATGTGAAGAATTACATGGTTTGAATAATTTAATCAAAGAAGACTTTCATGAATCTAAGCCACCCGTGGACTAGTTATTGTTTTAAACCCACGATAAAAGTTAGCAAATAGTTATAGTCTTTAAGAAAATCAATTTTTAAGGTTAAAAAATTACTCTATTATATTTAAAAATTGTATTATTTAATCTTAAAGACATAACTAAAATATTAAACATTACCTATATCTCACTTTTAAATGTAAATAATTATGTATATGTTTATATAGAAATTGGAATTTTTTTTCTTGTTTAGAATTTTGCTCTATTTACTTCGCTATTATTAATTCGTAATTATTATTATCTCAATCTCAAACTTATGTATAACTTATATTTAAATATTTTACTATTTTTTTATCCGAAATTATTTTCCCTTAGAAGTTTATTTTCTACTAAAATATAGTTCTTATTGAATTACATATATTGTACTACACATTTCCATATCTAGACAAACAAGTAACGAGAACACTAATGCAACTATTGAAATTTGTTTAAGTGTACTTGTCATTACTTTAACATTTACTAAATTTACCATCACGATTTTTAGGAAAAACACATATGTGGCGATTGGTTAAAACTGTATATTTGCATGCCTTTTTTTTATGGCATAAAAGCATATACGCTAGTAAATATTTGTTAAATATACCAGTCGTGATATCCACTTTAATCAAAAAAGAATAATTCATTTAAATAGTAAAGCATATGAGTCTTATTAATATTTTTATTATAATTTATAAATAGTCAAATATTAAAATTTTCAACAATATTATATTAACATGGACATTATTATAATTTTTAAAGTATGTAAATAACAATCAACTGTGATATAAAAATAAGTTTAATAATATTAATTAAAAATTTCTTTAAGAATTTTATTCTCATTATGTCACTATTAAAAGTTATAATATTTTAAGTTGAACTAGTTTTTTTAATTACATTCGTTTAATTAATTATAATATTACAAAGTTTAATAAATATATAATAATAAACCGTAATTTAGGTAGATACATATATTTATGATGATATTTTTCGAAATTATTGAGAACTATCAAATTTAATTTTAATTTCAAAACTATTAGAAAATATTAATTTAAATTTTAAAATTCAAAATAAGATCAAATTTCAGTGATTTGTACCTAAAGATAAATTTTTTAAGTAATAATATGCCCCATTTCTAATTAACATATATGTTTAAAATAATGAGTTACTACTTAGATTCATCTGATAATAGTTCCAAAAGTTACAAATCAAAATAAATGTGTAAAAAACGTTCTTGTTTTATTACAAATTGAAAACAAAATTTATTATTAATTATTTTACCATAATATATGTAAACGCATATAACATAACATGCCTCTTAATATTCTGTACATAGCATAGGATTTACTAATATTAGATTTAATTTGAGTGCACTATTGTGTTCTATATACAACCAAAAATTAATTGGTAAATACGGTTAAAAATTTAATCATTTTAATTTATAACATATTTTTATTATATTTTATTTGAAAACATACACTATTTCAACAATTAATGTTTCCTCGATCACAATATAAATGTATATTCGATATCTGTTAGTCTTCAGAAGTTCATAAAATGACAAAATATTTTTAATGATAATATTATGTTTTATTCTTAGTTTATTACTATTTTGGACACAAATTATTTATATGTGAATAACTTTTCATATTTATACTAAACATTATTTGTTTTTATCATGAATCAGTTAATTTTTAGGTATTTTTTACTATGTTTCAACCCTATATTTTCACTATGTATTTTAAGATAGGTTTTTTCTATTGATTTTCTGATAGAAGATGAAAACACTTTAGGTTAAATGACAATTTCAAACTCGACTTATAGACCCTTGCTATTTACACTTAATATATTCATATACTTGACTGATGTCAACATCGAAAATTATACACAATATACATTACATATCAAGCTATATTATATACAAAAAGGTTGGGTGAGCTATGTATAAAAGGTTTAGTGTCAAAGTTTGTAATTCACTCAAAATATAAAAATACTTAGATATTCAAAGTTTAAAAGTTGACATCTTGTTTTAGTACAATAAATTCAATTTAACATAAACCTAAAGTATAATAAACGTGTACCTATAAAATTTATCATTAATCAAATAATAATCATTAAATTTTATAAAATTAGATCTAAATAAATAAATAAATAATCTCTATTATTATTTTAAAGAAATACAATACATAGGTACAGTACATACATACTTTAACGCAAATCCTTAATAATATCCCTAAGAATTTTTATACCACCTACTTATAAATTTGAAAGCATTATAGATTAAATTAATTTGATAAATTTGATTGACGTATCATTTATACCTCCCGTAAACACATAACCTATGTATTTTATATCATGTCTTATAACAACAGAATTTAAGGACATTTATTGCCATTTTAGTACAGATGTATTTCCTAAATAGATAAATTGTTCAATATAAATTTAATTTTTAGTTACAATCTTCAAAATTATACTTCAAATATTTTAAAATTTCATCTTTCTATAATATCAATATTTATACATTATAAATATATGTTAAATTTAATAATAAAATACAAAAATAATTTTTCATTTTTATGTGATTATTTATTTATTTTGTTTTTATTTTTCACTCAAAGTAGTTTAACTTTAACAATATAAGTAGACTTACTTTGAATCCAAAAACTTTTATTGAAAAACAATTTATTTTCTATATCATAGTATCAAAATATCTCAATGTTAAGTATTTTATTTGATCTTTAAAAATATTTTTGATTTAATTATTTCACTTTTTTTGATATATAATGTTTTTGATTTCAAACTACTAATTACAAAAAATCAAGTTTATGAAATTAAAATACATTATTTTTGATAAATTACGAAAGGATTCAATTAAATTATATTAAAGTGAAAATTGAATTTTAAATCATACTACAATAAGGTGTGCAATATGTATACATTTTTTTCATACACTTGTTTAATAAATTTTGGTAATTAATATGCAATTGTAGAAACCTATTATTACATAATATAACAAATATGGTTTTTTAGTTGTTTTAGAATCTAAAATACTACATATTATTATATACTATGACTACAGATATAGTACATAACAGTCTCTATCATACCAATATTTTAATTTGAATACATATATTTTTTATAATCTCAAATTTATATCGTTACAAAATATTGAAAATTACAGAATAATTGGAAAAAGAATTGAATATGCACGGGAAAAGACTTTGGAAGATGATAAACAAAAATGCCAAGCTGACAGTAAACCGTCAACCACCAACAACAAAGATTTAAATTTATTGCGCGATCAGGTTATTAAGATCATGACGGAACTTTTATGGAAACGAGTACTAGATAAAACTAGCATCAAAAATGTATGCCAAAGGCAACCCATGTTACAATCGCGACGAAATTCTTCTGGTCGAATAGAGTCTGCAATAATTGTTTCATCGATTTTACCGACTAACAGACCGTCAATAATATTTAAATCCCATTCAAATTTAGGAACAATTAGCCAAAATGGACTTATATGCCAACAAAAAAAGTAAATAATAAAATATATTTATCAATAATTTAAATAACTAATTGAAATTATCATAAAATTATTTTTAATACTATTCACTTAATCACCATCTGGATAACATAAATTTATTTTCTCGAAACAATACAACATATAATATACGTAGACATATAGGTATATTTTATGAAATTATAAATGTTTTCTGTAAAAATTCAATCTAGAAATTTATAATTATTTAATAACTACAATGATTATTACAATAAATTACTTTACAATGAAGTACAATATAACTACAAATATTGTTAATATAAATAATTTTTTATTCATTAAAAAAAAAATGATACGGTAAGTCACCAGAAGTTAAAAATTGCGAAATTGAGTTTTACTAATTTAACATTAGGTAATTTGGTAATATATTATTAGATATTTTGTTATTATAATGACAATTTATGCAATAAAATTATTTTTGCTTTAATTTTTCTGATATTTACTTTCATCATTTTCTAAAAAATTATCTTAAAAATATAAGTTTTCAATTAATTTATTTATACCTTCTTAATAGTATGAAAAGGAGAATTATTTAACAGAAAAATATATTATTGAAAATAACAGCTAAATATTTTATGAACAAATTATAGATTTTTTCAATATATCTTAGTTCAGACTTTCTAGGTGGGTGTATCATAAAATGACGTAAATATACACACATTAAGTCTATTTAGATTAAAAATAACTGAAAACAATATTTCATTTAAAAAATTTGTTTGTATCATGTTTTACAGTAACAAAGAATATAAAAAAAAAACATGGCCAAAAAACAACGTCAGTGTTTTACCACCTATCGAATCCCATAAAATGGTAAGTTATGTAATCCTTAACGCATTATTTATACTTTTTATGACGCACGAAACAAATCTTATACATCATTTTTCATGTTTTGTGTACGCCGTACCTATACTTAAAAATATAATTGGATTCTAATATATAGGTATCAATGAAAATGTTATAAATTAAGAAATAATAATAGTATAACGTAGGTAGTATATTATGAGGTATTCGTAAATAGTAAATACCAACATTCGACGATTTAGACAAATTTGACTTATAACTTAACCTTAAGAAAACTCTATTTTATATTAAAATGACAATATAAAAGTTATCTACCTTATTTATATATCACTAAATATAATATATTAAGTTATGCAGCTTATTAATATTCTCATAACATTTTGTGTTAACTCAGAAATTATAACTGAATAGCATAATACATGTATTTCTTGCTCTTTGTTTGAGCTATTAAATCTGTTCAAACTGAATAATAAACATCATTAAACCGTGAGATACCTAAAATAGTTTAGATTTTGACCGCTTCATACGAAATAGGTACCTTCAAAGATCAATTTGTTTACAATTATTCAGTCGATTAAAAACAGTGTCAACTTATAAGTTATTGAAGTGACATACAATTAAAGAGCTACCTAAAATGGTAAATATAAATTATCTAAAACATATGTAGGTAACATAGTTATTAACTATTTATTATTCTATAAATAAATAAATGTTTATAGGCAATAAACCTACTTTATATCTATATTCCTCTAGACTCAGAGCTCAGACACAACTTAAATAAGTATTTATTTGAGTTTGCTGATATAAACAGAAAAATGGCAGAAAATATATTACATATATTGTATTACACAGTCCTATACTAGGACTCTTAAGGAAGGCACAATTTTAGTTGAAGGTCGTGAATAAGTAATATCAGGTGCTAACGTACAAGACAACTATGGTGATCATGTAAAATTACTGTATTGTTTTTATTAGACAAGACATTATTACAATATGAAAATAAAATTTATGATGTATTGTATATTTTTATAATATGTGTAACCACAATGAATTACTATTCAATCTACATACTAACAAAAAGTGTATTTTAATGTATTATATACTGTATAGTACCTATGACAATTAAATGTAAAATATTTAAAATATATAAAAGTAGTAAATATTATTCTATTTTCTTTCAACCTTGCGTGACTATTGTACGATTATCCTTCAAATCTATACGAACACCATAAAAATAATTAATTCAAACTGTATTTAATATAATTAATATCAATCAAAACATATACTAAGTATATTTATTATAAGTAGCTACTCATCATTGTAATAATGTACCCATACAATAGATTGTGAAAATATAAAACTTTAATAGTTTTCAATCCATTTCAATGACTTGAATAAATTACCGATGATATGTCACACTAAATCTACTAACATTCTTTATACACAATTGATGAAATATTAAAAATACATTTCATATAAATTATAAATATTATCAATAGTACATTAAAAATGCATAATGTAGCGTAAATAAATTATCAAGGAAATTAAGAAACTCGAGCATATTGTGCAATAAATTAATGATGGACTGTCGGTATTCATACACGTCTATAACTATCTATATTATTATAATTATTTATAACTTTATTATACTTACAGAAGATAGTAGACAAAAAAAAACGCTGGTTTTCGGCCGTTAACACACCAGGTAGAAATCACGTATTACCGAGACCAGTGACTTCAGTTGCGACTCACGTCAATACTTCGGTAAATATTTTATGATATAATCTATATTTTATTTTAATACACATGTCTGCAGCAATAAGTACATGTACCTATAGCTCGGAGATTTTCTAAGGCCATACTCAAAAAATATCTTGACTATACAAATAATAACGATATATATATATATATATAAGTAAATACGCGTCATAACACATATAAATCAATTTATTAGAATACTATACTATTACTACTTTTACTACTTTACTATATTACTTATATTACTACACTATACTATTATTACTATTACTACTTCCGATTTGGTAGTGACGTAATTTTAGTAGCAAAAGAGATACTTTCCCCAAACATGTCAACAATACTCAACACTCAACAGTAAACATCTTTAATTTTTCTAAAATTTTAAAAGATTACGATATATTTAAAATACATTTATATTTAGGATTAAAATATTATTTTTTTCAAATTATTACATATAATTATGCACATTTATTTCATGTTTTTCCTATATCATATTATGATGTTTGTCAAAGTTATGACATGATCTAAGTTACCAAAATAATTCAATGATATTATTTCATGAATTATATAATTATAAGATTATCATAACATTATTTATTTCTAACAAATTATAACTTATAACTAGTACCTTTTTATGATTTCGTATGTACCTACTTAATATTATATTTTAACGAAATGAGTACTTAGGATTTGTTCCTTAACCATAGAATGAGCTCTAGACTTCTGTAAAAATAAACAATTGGGTTACCTACGGTTTTGATTTTTGTGAATAAATTATTTCTCCTCCTCCCCACATTCCAGTTTTTTAATAAATTATGCTAATTCAAGTCTTTGATAATAATATAAATATGTATAACATAATTTGATGAACAGTATCTGATAGAAATGTTTTTAATACATCAAATAAGCTCATTGTTATACATTACAGCTAGTTAGTTCATAGCATGGCATAATAACATGTGTATAGTAAATCAAAAAACGTACACTTCCTATTTTTGTTTTGTTTTCTAGATTAACGTGTGTTTTGACATATCGATCGACGGCAAGAGTATCAAAAGCTTAAAGAAAAAAGGTTGCTGTTCTCCATCATGATTATGCAGTGAACATAAAAATATTCCACGAATTCGTTTACCCGAAAAAACGTATAATACATTTAAAAAAAAAATTTGTATAAGAAAACAATAAAGAAAACATTTTATCAATACAATATATAGATATATATTATTTCGATGTTAAAATATTATTATTATATATTTCAGTGTATTCAACCGTTATCGAAATATCTTACATACAAGTAATATTATAATATCGAAGTCGACCAGTTTTTTTTAAGGTTTTTCTAATAGAAAACACACGCATAAGTACCATACGCAAACAGCGGCCCGTTGACGATACCACCACCGCCATATCCTATTTACGATTTATATTTACTCTTCCCCGTCACGACTCGCCACCACCACCACCACACCGCTTCCGCTTCCATGGCGAACTTGTGTGCGCTCGACGATTTATATACATATATTTATTTTTTTCATTTTTATTTTCGTACACACTAACTAGTGTACGCGCACACGCCCGTCATAAGGTCAGCGCGACCGAAGGTGAGTCGGTTTGGCAGACAAATAATTATTATTGTTTGACTGTGCGCGCGTATAATAATATGAAGTTATGGTATCGTATTATACCCGCGATAATGTATAATACCATGATTATACGCGTTAGCTTTCCGCGATTGCAGTAGTGATCCCACGACTCGAATCCTGTGAACACCGTGTTTATATGATCGCATTCGGTATAAAAGTCGCATCGGTAGAACTTAATTCGAAAACATTTAGTCGGTGGTTTTTTTTTTTCTTGGCCGAGATTCGGTGATCGTACGCAATACCACCTATATTATTGTACACGCATCGTAGTATACACAGTAACTCGTCGTCACTCGTTTCTGCTACCAACATGATAGTCATGTCCATCGGAAGCTCCGCTGTCGTCAAGTAATCGCCAACATACGGCGGCAGCGTAAGAAGAAGCTGCAACGTCGTCAGTAGACCAACAAGTACATAACGTTTATATTATATTATATTATAATATATACGGTATATAGTGAGTGTGCGTGAGTGTATATGTGTTCTAAGAAGAAAGGATGTATTTTACGAAGTCGTCCGAGATGAACGATTACAAATATTCGAAAACAGCATCGATGCTCGGCAAGCTCGTCCACGTAATAAGGATTTTCGGTGTGTTCACAGCTATTGGTAAGTCATCACATCAATTCCTTTCGTTCATAAGGGAATAGGGTACCTAGATACCTTATATTTAATTAAATGGCTGCACTTTTCATCAGTAAATTTTTCTGTTTTATAAACATATTTATTCTTTTTATCCCATTTAAAGTCATTACCAGTACAACAAAACATTTTTGAGCTTTTGAAAAAAAAAACGCTTAAATAATAAAAACGGGGGATCGCAGTAAATCGCCCTGCAGTTCAGTAGGTATGTATCAAGTGTACCTCGTCATTAAGGATTAGTTCACTATAATCTTTATATTAAATTCAATTCAATCTTTACATAGAAAAATGATTCTGAGCGAAGACGGTCTCTCAGCCTTTATCACTAAGTATCTTTCATATGCGTTTTGATACTGCAATTAAAAATTAAAGTAATTTTTTTAACTCTGATGATTTAATTTTTACCAAAAATATTGCTTTTATAATTATTATAGTAATGTATATTTAAACCATAATATTATATAATTTTTATTGGCTTTTAAATTAATACTACTTTACCGCAAAACAGTGTAAATAAGTTCATGATATAAATATGTTATACCTATCTAAAAAATAATTTAAAAAATCGCATTATGTTTTAAATTATAATAACCGCAATAGTTTCAAATTATCCGCGAATATTGATTTTTAATTACAAAAAAATAATGAACATCATTATTTATCATTTAAATATTTAATTTTATCCAAATTTAAATTCGTAAAATTCTACTCATATATTTTTTTAGAATATTTGATTTATTATTACTTGAACAACCTTGTATTAAAACCCAACCTTTGAGTTATAACAAAAACAAAATCTATTTTGCCAAATACTAGTTATGCTTAAATTTCCTGTTTTTTTTTTTGTTATCGGTTATTTTTTACCAAATTAATTAAACTAGATGAAATTTGCTACCAGAAAGCAAAGTTGAAAATCGATATATTTTTACTGTCCCAAAAAAAGATGACAGATACGAAAAACCATTCATTATAATAAAATCAATACATTCATCGCTCAAAATCAAAACTATCAAATCGAACTGTTATAATTTATAACTATTGTTGTTATTTATTTATTTATTTATTTATTTTTTTTTTTTATGTATTGTTTTAATAATTTCAATTTACCTATACAAAAATAAAATCTGTATCAAAAATATTTAAATCTGTCGACAAGAAATCTATTCAGTAATAAAATAATAATTACACTGTTTATCACGTATATTTTCTATTCGAAAATCCTCACAGTCATAATTACATAATTATTAAAATTCTTATTTTAATAAAATTGTGTATATACTATATGTATTATATTTGTATGATAGTGCAGTACACGAAATATAAATATATTAATACAAAATACAATTGTTATTTAGTAATATACACATCATTATGAAATTATAATCTATAATTTTTCAGTCATGTTTGGGGTAGGTGTTGACATCGCGATACACCATCACGAATTTGGACTTTACATCATGTAAGTATATAACTGTATATGTATATAGTTTATACACAAGATACATTTACATATTTTGTCTCTTATCGACTGTATTATACTTATGTTTAAATTTAAAAATCCACGTGAAAAATTAAATCATAATTCTCTTGAGAATTTATTGCACGTTATCTTATAAATGACGAATGTGTGTAATATAAAAAAAAAAATTCATGAAAATAATTTAATATTTTGATGAGAAAAAACTGCTTAAGTAATTTTCGAAATATATTAGAAATTGTAAATGCCACTTATTATTCTTCTTTCTTAAATTTCACGACGTAAAAACAAGAATTTTTTCAAAGCTTAATAAGATGTGACTAGAGTAAACGGTTTATAAGATCTTTGTTAAAATGTAGATACAGTGAAATCTCTAATTAGCGGACACCTCTCAATAATGGACAATTTGGTCGGTCCCGTGAGTGTCCGCTATTCAGAGGTTTTACTGTAATTATTAATTGAAAGAAATATTAATAAAATTATTTTATTTGTTTTAAAAGTCAATATTAAAATAAATAAAACCTGAAAATGCGGAAGACCAACTAATCGTTTGAATAAAAATACAAATGGCCCTGAATAATATCTTTGATTTACTATGAAATAGTTGTATAATACTTATGTATTTATTCCTTTTTTTTTTTAATAAAAGTTTAAAGTTGCATTTGGGATTTGATAAGAAATTAAAAATATTATGGCCCTTGGAGGATTAATTACTGTAAATTGTAGTATGTGATGTAATTATTCAACATTATATACAGGGAAATATAAAAAACTGATCTTATTAAAAATGTCTTAGTGAATTTTTAAAGTTGAAACTGAACATACTATGTAGTGAAACCGATGAAAAATAATGGTATCTACAATAAAATCGAAAAGCCTGTGTTGGTAATAGACGCATTGAACTATTAAATTGTTGTTCACAAAATATAAAATTACTTACAGTAACGCCAAGGTTAGGTGATTGAGGACTGAGATGTTTAATAGACTTTATTAAATTAAACGAACCTGAAAAAAATCTCAGAACCAGAAATTATTTAATTTTTTACGGAAAAACTACTAAACGTCTTTATCTATTAGACTGGACTAAATAATTTTTAAGATTATGCTTGGATTAATAAATTATAAAACAATTTAACAACTAATTATTATAAATAATTAAAAATATGTTAAAAAATAATAATTTGTTAAAAGTTGAGTATTTTTAATTGATTGACCAATTTACACTCATTCCTCCACCACTACTCAAACCAAATTTTAATTCTTTCAGACATTTTTCTGTTGTTAATCAAACAACAAATTATTAATTGTTATTGTTTAGTGGTCTTCGTTTAAATTTAGACAATATGTTAGTATGAGTATGTTGACTAATGGGACTTTCATAATATAAAAAAAAACATCAATGCTGTACACAGAAGGTCATTTTGCGATAAATATATTAACGGTTTTGTTTTCTATATATTACCATTTAAAAGTAGATAAAATACAACTATTATACTACAACGCTATTACAGTAATATTACTATAAGACACATAGGCACAAATATAGGTAATACGAATGTAATCTAACTCTTAAGTAACTATTACTAAAACTACTATCTGCTACCTATAGAATTTTTTTCAATCGCTAACGGGTAACTTCTGTTGAATAGCTCATCAGTAAATAAATTTTAAATCGTTTCTCGAATAAACATTGATCAATAAGACATAATATTATATGCATCTCAAAGTTACGTATCACGATTCAAGTTGCATACTAGAATCTAGATCTACAAGATTACGGAAATTATATTATCTCCCTACTCCCGTATTTACTGTAGAAAATTTATTAGTCTTAGACGTAAATTTTTTGTTTAAATAACTAATTTTTGAAGAGCATTAATTTCTTGAGTACGACTTTTAAAAAACAACACTATTTATTAATATATACTTATAAGTTATAATATCGTTCGATTTACTTCATTAAATTATTGTAAAGTTTATATTAATCACCTATACAGTATTATTTTACTTCTAAAGAAATCAAGAACCCTTAACCAAATCGCAATACAGCATTCAAAAGTACAGTTGTTATGATTATTATTTTTTAAATAGAATCAAGTACGATTACATACTCAAATCACATTAGATAAAATACTTATAACTATTTAAATATTTCATATTGCTATATGACCATTTTTTTTAAATCTCAGTATTAAACATTAATTCTATACAATGTGTGTATATTTAATAGGTATAGTTATTATTTCTAGCAAACATCAATCAGATTATCCGAATTCAGTAACTGTATTTTAATTATATTATACGTATCTTGACTTAACTCATTTAAAATATATATTTAATTTTAAAATAAGTATATTTCAAATGATTTATTAAAAACAAAATATTATATTTCACGTTTAGAACATAAACCATTTTAATTAATACTTTCTTGGGCATATAATTATAATTATATATACTACATAGGATATAAAGAAATATAAATATTTATATAAGAAAAATTGTATCAATACATTTTGAGGTAGTTCAGCCACTCATATAAATGTGATATTGTCACATAAAATGGTGGAGGGTCATTAATCCTCTTAACGACAGAAACAGAACAAAATTTACGCAGGTAGATAGAACGAAAAATAGGTCAGCGTGATGGAGATGGGAAAATGTTAATGCGTTTTAAAATAAAAAAAGGTTGCTGCATAGTAAAATATTTATCATTCCCAAAATTATGAGAAAAAGTCAAGTTGGATAATTTAAATCTATTTATTAATTTTTTTTTTTTTATGTTAAAATTATTATTGAATTATTAAGTATAGTAACCAACTATAGTCTCTAAATTCAAAGACAAATAGTTACTTTTATAATGCTCAATGCATATATTTTATAATTTATACCTATACCAATAAAATGTTATAATTTAGTTGTTTTTTTCTGTTATTATTAATAACTGATCGTAGCATACGTGCATTTGGCTTTTGACTATACCTACTTATTGAATTTAAATAAGATATATAATTTTTATTTTTTAATACCTATAAATACATGGGTAACTTAAGTTTCATAATTTGAATGTGCATATATTATAGAAAAAATTAAATTTTTATTTAATACTCACAACGATTATGGATATGTCTATAAAATTCGAGGTTAAATGCATAGTTAAATATAGGTAGTAGGTACACCTAATATTATATAAAATATTAAAAATAAATGTCTTATTAATATTCTTGTAATCTTATATGGATATTGAATATACATCATTATAATATACTAAAAACAGATAGTTCAGTATAAATCGTGTTCCATTTTTATGCTTTTATGCATGCATTTTCTGTTCATTAATGAACAATATTTTACTCTTCGGGTTTTCTTAACATAACATTTATCTTATCTACACTAAAAGTAAATTGCTTTTTTTAACACCTAGATACTCATATTTTATGTAAGTAACCTATTATACCAAGTTTTCTATAACCATTACAATTTATGTGTTTCTATTATTAATAAATAAACAAAAAACATCATAAGTTATCGAAATAATATACAATATATACGTATTCAACATTTAGAGTATTTTTATTCTTTGTTAAATTTACTAATTAGTTTATGAAGCGCCGGGTACAACATCGACATGTAAACTTACATAATATCTAAATAGATTGAAATATCAAAATTAAACTTCAGTAGTCTTCATAAAAATATATGTATATATTGTATATTCTAGGTAGATCAGTTTAAATTATTTTACGAAATCCAGGACACCAAAATTATAAATTATTATGTATAATTTTTTCCTTCACCTTTTCAGTACCTATGTATACTTGTGCCCTATACAGTATAGAATAAAATGTTATACAATAGACATTATCCGTTAATGAGTAATTAGGACATTAGGTATAAAAAAAATATTAAAATTAATCAATTAAATAAGATAACTTAATTTATTTATTACTTTTAAAATATACTAATCTAGGGAAAAATGTATACACGTGATTTTTTTGTCATTTAAATATTAATGAATCAATATCAATGTACAAGGCATAGAACGAGAACTTTGATGATGAATTACTGCGTATGATACTAGTTTCGCGGACGACTAACAAAAAAAATCATTTCCAGTAGGAACCGAACTAGAAAAATTATTGAAAATCTTACCAGGGGTAGAACTGATGATCTTGTAGTCAACTTATGGTTTTACGTTTTGATATGATCATTTAAGTCCAATCGTCCACCATGGCTTACTGAAAATTTTCTATGGAAAATTATTCACTATACTTTGAAATAATTAGTAGGTTTAAGTTTTTTAATAAATGGGAAATAATTTTGCTATTTCTCACTGAAATGACAGAGTATTTTTTAATGACATAATCACTATGTTAAAAAATAAACTAAATAAAATCACGACACTATAAAGCATAAATACGTACAAAACCGTTGGTAAATTTTATAGTCGCTGAGTCGCATACAACCAGTGTGTTTTCGATGGCGACAAAAATGCATACTGATTACTGACTAGTGTCTAGTGACTTCTGACTACAGAGGTCAGAGACTACTGAAGTAAACTAATTGACTATACTTTATATTAATTACATATATTATTATTTTTCGTAATCGCGATTCTCGAAATTTAAAATTCATAACGTGGTTTTCCCGATTGTAAATTTAATCAGAAATTAAAGGCAGTAGCCAGTTGTAGGTTGTCTAAGTTTAGAAAGCGTTTATTACTGTCGTTGTCATACGTTCCGACGTTCATTGTCAAATATCGTACTTATGTTTACGATAAGGTTTTGTCTTATAATAAAATCGATAACAGAGTAAATAAAAGAATTATGAAAATAATTTTAAAATCTGGGACATTACTATGCCAAATTCTAAAACTCGTACAAATCGATGTCTCGAGAAACTTTGTCCGGGACGCCGGAACATGGATTCCTAAACCGGCAACTTCCCAGGAATTCCGGAACAAATGGCCACCCTAGTAAATACATATTTCGTATTTAAATAATATTATTATATGAAAATACAAATATATTTCAATATGTAAAGAAGACTACAGACTACATATAATAACATAATATCTATATTATAGATCATGAAGTATGAAATTTCCGATTTTCTTAAGTAGAAACTTTTTAGCACTATATTTAAAAATTTAGAATGTAGTAAAACAGCATCATAATATAGTAGTTTTATTGATTTGATAAGCATGAGCTACAAAAAATTTCATAATTATAATTTACTCATTTTTACTCGTATTTTTCAGGTTAATGTCATTGTTGGTATTTTTTTTGGAAATTACTTGGGCTATCACATTGTTCCTAAATGTATGCATAAAGTAAGTTGTAAATAATAATTATGAAATACAATATAATTTATTTTACTAACATTTAATCATTGATAAACAATACCTATTTTTTGACTAGATAAAATATGATATACATTTTAAAAAAATGTTTAAAATTTAAATTACCTATTTCATTTAATATACATTGGAAAACAAATGGGTTATTGTAATAATGCACTTATTGGCTATTAAATATAACGGCAGCTAAATTTATTTTAATATACTTAAATATATCATCTTCTACCAAGATTCTTTCAGTACAATAACACCATTATATATTTATATAAAAATAAAGTTTAGTGTTAATTAGATTAATTTTAGTGTTATCAAAGGGTAATCATAAAATGGAAATACGGAATTGGTTCCCAGAAAAAATTAAAGTGTACGAATTAGTTCTCGATAAAAATTACATAATACTGTTTGGATTAATTCTCTTGAGTACAAATAGATAATAATATTAAAATATTATTAAAATCTGTTGACTGTGATTTTCCACTAAAAATATGGTTAGGATTTTCATCGATTTCAAAACAAATAACTAAAAAATATTGCGAATTATTATTGGACAAAAAACTTAATTATATTTTCCCACCCGAACACATTTTTAATCAACTAAAAAAGATAACCAAAACAGTAAAAAATGATGTTGATAATGTCATAATACGACATTTTTTTTTTTTATTGCTTATTTTAATCAATTTTGACTTATTTTATACTCGGTTAGACTATCATTATTTAATATGTACTTATTTTATGATAAGCAAAAAAATAACATGCATAGTTTATTGCATATATTTGAATATATATATATATATATATATATATCGATTGGTAACACAACAGTATTCACCCGTGAAATTGCTTTAGATTTAATATACAATTATTTTTGAACCATAGGTTATTATGAAAAAGTTAATTTTAATATAGTTTTATCATTAAAATAAAAATTAATCGAAGTAAATTTGTAATTCGTATGTTATCTATAAATCACTCGGGAACCAAAACGATATGAAAAAAAATAACAATAGTATCTATAAGAACGTCAAAATTACCTTTAGGTGTTTTATTCGTGGTATTAAATTTAGAATTTTAGATGGATCCATTATTCAAAAGTATTAAACGTACATACATAATGTTGAGTTTATAATATTAATATATTATAGTAATGATTTTGCTGAAACATTGATATTTAATGATATTTATAAATGTATGATGATTATAGTAATTTTTATTTTTTATTTATATTATTATATATTAAACATTAAATTGGTACCAATAATTTTTGTTTATTATATCTTTGGCACTAACTACATGCGTATTTTTAATATTATTTTTGGCGATTATGCCATATTATAGTAATATACATAGCCATATTTTTATAAAGGGTAATGATAAGCACGGTTAGTAAAATATGCGTTTATATAATGTATTTATTAGTCGTTTAACCATATGAAGGTCGATCGTTCAATAATATTATGTTCCAATTGGCCATCAGATTAATTTAGAAACATAAAAATGTACATTTTTCATTATAACCAATGACTATCGAAATTGGTTATATCGCTCAATCACAAACAAAAAGAGAAGTTTTAATTGATTCGTACATAAAAAAATATTTGTACATTACATTTATGAAATTATGCTATTTTTATTGTACCCATATGTAATACTAGAATGTATCAACAATAGTAAACAAGTAATTTTTAAACAAGTCCGATTTCTTTTAAAAATAAATTTAAATAAAATACAACATCATCTTAACATTATTCAACAACAAATAATATTTTAATACGTAGGTATATAATAAATATTCAAAGGTTAAAGGTAAAAGCATGATGGATAATATATAATATATATATATAAGTATGTGTATGTTATGTTAATTATACACTAAAATAATTTAAAAATGTACATTTTTCAATTTTTCATAAATATTTAAGGCAAATTCCATCCAAATTTCATAGATATGAGATAATTCAATACCTTATATTATTACAAAATCATTTGTCTCTCGTCTATAAGCTAGTATAGTCACATACATAAATGTATGCGCAAGTACTAATGTATAATTTAGTATATTATATTGGTGAATAATGGAGTTTTTATATTTAATGCAAATAAATGAGTAAAAAACTACATTTACATTTTATTTTATATTATAGCAATATGTATTATTTATCATCTATTTTCATATTATCGTTTAATTTACTTCTATTTATTATGAAACATGAAAATATAGTCAGGCGCTAATGAAAAATAATAATGTATTTATAACATATCATAAACATAATAAAATATAATATTTTATGTTGTATTATAATAATAATAAGTAAAAGAAAATATTTGCATAATAATTACAATAATAAGTTTTTATTTAATTGTTTTAATATATTGGATGGTAATTGTAATAGTAGATAAATCATATAAATAAAAAAATTATAAATATTACCTATTTATCAAACGTAAATATAATTTGGGAATTATGAATTATTTGAGGAGAGCTAGTTAATATTATGTTCATACATAGAAACAGAATATTTTCGTCACATGTCGCTTTACTATATCTACACTCGATTACGCAAATACCTGTCACATTAATAGAATAAAAAACAAAACAATTATTGAAACTTGGATTCAATATCTTATACCAACATAAAGTCTTGAAACTCTTGTATTTTTTAAGCTGTTTGCAGTTCACAATATTTTTAATAGATATTTTTCGTTTAAATTACGATATAATTAACTAAGTAGCAATTTAAAAATTAACAATTGTTTACACAATTAGGTACAACATCTTATTATAATAAACATGAAATGATTTTTAATCATCAATTATTATATAATATAATATGTGATTTATTTTTGGTTATAATTAGCTAAATCTACCATATTTGATATTACCAATAACAATATAAATATAATACCATTATAAATCCTTAGATAATATGTAAAATAATCCTGACTAGTTACCTTCCCACCTAAACAAGGTAGGTATCATATTATGTACCTACCTACTCATATATATTAATAAATAAATATACTTTTATGCAATATTTTATGACCATACTTTTTTTTATGTACATAGAAACGAATTCAATCCGATATTCAACTGTTGGGAAATAGTGTTGTGGTTGAGGCTTTGGAAAAAATCACTGCTATACACAGTTTTCTCGCTGGTGTTCTTTTTATGGCCACACGGTCTGTGGCTTTCTAACATAGCAGGTATGAATATATGATAGTATAATGTGTGACGTTTATACCTATTTATGCGCATATCGTATTATTATTACTGTGTACGCATTATATTTTATAATCAAAGATATATAATTGAAACTTTTAGGTTATACTAATAATTCTTCAGCTCTCCTCCCTATAACAAATAGTTTTAATTTTTTTACGATAAAATTCAACTTTATTTATATTATACTTAATATAAGAGGATTTATCAAGCACACTCACGCTTTTTTTCTTCGATAATATGGGTATTTAAAATTTGATTTTTCAAATATTTAAATTTGCTTTAAGCCCTATTCTCAAAATTCTAGAGATCTTTTGTACTACTTAAGGGAAGTCCTGTGAAGATTTATTTTTCTGTTTTCGAATAAAAACCCGCACCTGTTCTTTTATTAATTATATAGTGAATAATTTTTCTGAAAATGTTGACATATTAAAATTAAATTTCAAATAAGTAGTTTTTTAACTATTTAACTTTGCATACTTTACGATGCATGTATTACAGATCCATGATAATGGGCTTAGAACATATAGCGACTATGATTTCTTAAATATTTGGTAATTGATATTAATCTATTAGCTTTTATAATTTATAAAAATAGCCCAAGTATAACAAATACTAGATCCAGTACATTTTCATTTTTATATTTTTGTGAACCCATTTTTAAGGATTATTATCCTTGATATAAACATTTTAATAACTAATGAGGAATTACTCATTTAAATTTTAAATTATACATGTCAAAATTCTCAAAAAAATACCCATAAAATAATTTACGGTAAAAAAGGAGGAGAAATTTTAATTTGTGAGCAAAAGATTATATCACCACAGGACACTTCTTTAGTACAAAAATATCTCGAGAAATATGGTTTTAAAGTATATTTAAACGTTTTAAAAATCAGTTTTTGAATAATTTCATTATTAAATGAAAAATTGAGGTGGCATGGTTGATGAATTAACTTATATAACATACTCGTAACTAAAAAAATAGAAAAAACAATTTAACAAAAAAAAATAACCAATTATTAACTAAATTTCAAAATACATTTATGGCAATCAATACATGCCTAACTTGAAAATAATATTACGAATTATTAATAAATCAATGTTAGATATGGATAGTAAAAAATTAGGTATTCGTATTTCTAATGGTTATAAAATAAGCTTCGTTTAAAATTAAGGTTAAATACTATCAAGTAATATAATTCATTCAATAGAATCTAACTATAAACAAATATGTTTTTGTTAAATTCTTAAAATTAAAATAAAATATATTAGTTTATCATAATAATGATAAATAATTTTTTTTTTACAATTTAACAATTCATATTATTACCATTTTAAAATACTAAAACTAGAATAATTGATAAAATACTTTAATGTTAGAAGTTAGAATATACATTAAAATATTTATTTAGTCAATACCCATATTGTAATTAAAAATGTGTTATTTATTATTTTATTTAATTGTCATGAGCAATAAAATCAATATTTTTTCACGGGTTGACTCAGAGATCACTATTACAGAATTTTCAAATATTTTTTTTTTTTTTTTAACTCATAGAGCATACTATGTATTAAGGTCTTAATCATATTGTTAAAGACTCACACCCAACTCTTATGCAAATTGATTAAGGAAATAGGATTAAACCCGTAGCGTAATCTGTCCGGTTTTTACAGTGATTTTTTAATAACTTCTACGGAACTACTCACTTGACCATTTTATTTACATTTGTTGTTGATTTTCGCGAGTGGAAGTACAGTCTGAACTAATTTTCTCACTAAGTTATCATATTGCTTAAGCTGAAATACACAAAGCGCTGTATCCGATTCTCCGCAGGCGGATTTCCCAATCATCTATCAGATTTGTCTAAAAAACGCAGTACACCAAAACTTGCATGCAGTGAACTCCCTTGTATTAATAATATTTATTTAGAAAAATAAATAATAAAACTTCAGGGGTAAGAATATAATCAGTAAGTACAATAAAGTATTAAATTTAAAAAAATAAAATTTTTATTTAAATTATAAATTATACTATATAGACGTTTTTTATATAAAATCAAAATCTTTAACTTGATTCATTATACACTATGAGTACACCGGGCTATTAGATATATCATTTTTAGTAAACTACGGTATAGCAAAAAGGGGAAATCATGCTTAAACCTGAAATATGGTATTTTCAAACTGTATTTTTTTTTTAATAACTAAGGGCATTTGATAAATTCGTTCACGATTTTATTTACAAAAATAATGTCAAAAATTAATAGAGTGCGGTAGGTATAGATATTTCATAATAGTCGTTAATTATTTCACCGGGCAAAGTCGGGTAATGCAGCTGGTTTAAAACAAACAAAAAATAACATCCTGACCTCAAGTCCCCCTTCTTCCCTCCCCAATTATACGCCATGGACTTTACCTATACAACTTTCTACAGCATTTATATAATAATAGTATATAGGTATATTATTATGTGTACAATAGGTGTGTCTCACCGCTCGTGTCCCCGTGTCGACCACGCAATTTTTCCCACTTTTAAAAACGCATACATATTTTTTTTACCTGCAGTTTACTAAAACTTGTTTTAAAAATCTTGTCTTGCATTCTCGTAAGGAAAATAAATTCTAAACTATAACCAGTAAACTTTTAATCGAAAAAGTTATATATTGACGGGGACACAAACTCAACGGCCGACAAATTGCATGTATTTATTGATAAAAATAAATTTTAATTATTGTATAAATTTGTGTGACGCTTATACAGGTGCCTTGCTGTTGTGGCTATCATTTTTATACATAGTCATCACGTTCAAAGACTTCGCACACAAACGTTCGGATTTTGTCATTGTGCCCAAAGGACAAGCATCCACGTCGTACGACCAGTAAGTGAGATGGAAATAGTGTGATAGGTACACACACGTCTACACATATATATACCTTAGTAGTTTTTTTTCTTTCGGGGATTTCTTCTCTTGTATTGGCAGACGATTTCCCCTATTGAGCACAAAATATGAAAAACTTTATTCTAGTTTATGTTATTATAGCACACAGTAAAACCGCTAACATGTAATAAATCCATTGACCGCTATAAAAGAAATTTCCCTCGAGTTTAAGTGTAAAAACAGCTATGAAAGATAGATATATAGTCAGCATAGTTGTCTTCTGCGCTGCGACAGAAAATCCGAGTATCCTACAATCGAATATTTGAAACGTGTACCTAAATAAGGCGTTGGCCAAAATTACTTTGTACTCCAACGGTTAAATCTACAAGCAGATTATACTATTATATTTATTGAATTTGTTAATAGGTACTTATAAGCTATAGCTACTTCCTATAAGTCGATACAAAAATAATAATTTACAACTGTTTCGCAGTTGAATCTATGCAAATCATGTTGTCTATTACTGTTACGAAACTTCGGTACTTCAAAGTTAACAAAAATAAAGCTAAAAAAAATAATTATGGACAATTTATAATTTTAATCACGGAAAATGTATTTACAAAATGATATCAATATAATATTATCTTAATCTATAGCATTGTCAAATTTAGTGAATGCATATACATGTATTAATTTTAAATTATAGATACAATTTAACATAACAAAGGTAACGTGAGAAAAGGAAGTAATTTGTCTAATAAGTCTCAGATCAAATATAACGCTATGCTGGTATACCTACTATGATCATAAGATAGAATCTATTGCAAAAGGTTTTTGAACTTAAATATCTAAAATGATTTTTACAATTATCAGTGGTTAATGGTTATAATGATTTGACTGTTACAATAATAGTTCTCATGGGTAATGAAAAATGAATTTTTGAAGATTAGGTACTTATATACTTAACCGAAAAAAAATCTGTATCGTGGTATAGAACCATTTTCTTAAGAAATATGTAACTTCAGAATAATAAATTACTGATTATTATAGGTTATCATTGCTTTATAGGTAAAACTATTTTAATATAAAAGCGACTTAAAAAACTAAGGTTGCCATATCTCCAAAGCTATTTATTTATTCCATTTTTTTCTGCATTACACCTCAAAAATATTAACAATAATTTTTGATAATCAAGAGAAAAATTATAAAAATAAGAGTTAATTTGAATTTTTGTAAATAATATTAAAATATTTGAAGCAATATAAATTGTATCCCTTTATTAAAATATATATATATATATATATATATATACATATATATGGATTTATATGTACATAAATATCTCATACTTATTTATAATTTGTTTAGGTACGATGATATAACTGATTTGCTCGGAGATTCCATTCATGTGTCGTTGTCTGCTGACAATTTATCAGAATTAGACCAAGATGGAATATTAGAACTATAATAATATTGTTATGTACAAATATTTGTGTTATATTTAATAATATATTCTGTAAATAAATTCTTATCTAATATTTATTATTAAATAAATAAAATATAATTTGTTTTGTTAACTACATTAAATTTGTTTGCATTTATTTTGTAAATAATTTTTTTTCCTTAATGTTAATTTTTTTTTTTTATTAATTTTGCACAACATAATATAAATGATATAACCCTCCCATTGAAAAAAAAACAATTGATTTTTATAAAATGTGAAAATAGATATTATAACTATGATACATTTTAATATTATAATATAATAGAAAAAAAAAAGAAGATTTTATGGATTACAAAATAAAATAATTTCATTACATTTATATATTTATAATTGAACCCATTACATAATATAATCATGACAAACTACAGCTTATTTTAACAGTTTTTCTTGGACTGTCAACAAAGGTAACTATTAAAAATTAAAAATGTGTCTATGATTCAGATAACAAAAGAAAAAAACCTTCTAAATAGTTGCATAAAGACAAGATTGGGATGACAATTAAAATAGATGGACAAGATTTAACATTGAAACCCTGTTTTATACCCCCATTAAGATATAAAGTATTTTAAAAATTAAATATTATCAATATAATATTTCATCCATCTTTTTATTCAAAATTGAATACTAAATGTTGATGCAGAAGACTTTAAAAATAATTAAATAAACAAAGATTTATAAGTTAAAATTATTTAGATGTGGGCAATGATGAAAATGCAAAAAAGGTTTTAATTCATAGACAGATTAAAATAATAAAATAATATTAAAATTTCTTTTGATACATAAAAACCTTTACTACACAAAATTTATACCCAAAAATATTACATGATATTAAACGTTACTAACAGCACAGTGTGAAATTATAGAATTTACACTAAATTATATTAGACTTAATATAATTATAATAATTATATACTAAACTGATACTTAATGGTATTACTAAATAAAAAAATCAATATAATATGTTAACACTTAAAAAATCTTATCAATTATTTTTAAGTAAATAGTCATTTGAATTATCAATTTTCAAATTTTTGTATTTAATTGTTAACATTTAATTTTTTTTTCTTGAAAAAATTCTTTTTTGTTAAAGTGCGTTTCAATGTAACATCTTGTATATTAACATCAATATTTATAGATTCATTATCAGAAATGGTGAGATTACTTTGTTTTTTGGTTTTTGAATGTCTTATCTTGGATCGTAATCGTTTTGTTTTTTTAGATTTACCAGAATTAACAGATTTTGGACTATTTTTACGTTTAACAATAGGAGTTAATAATGTTGATGACGATTCAGACTTTCTTGTACTAGATAGCCTTGACTCAGTATTCGATCTAGAAGTAGATTGAGCAAATTCGTTACTTTCAGGTTCTGGTGCAGTAGAAATCTAAAATAAAATTAACTTCAATTAATTTATTCTTTAAAAAATGTTTAAAACAATTTAAATTTTATACTTAAAGATTATAATATAGTATAAATACTATAAGTAATAATTATTTTTTATTACAAAAACTGATAATACTTACAGTACTATGAAATCGACGCCAGGTTTCCGTACAATAACTTGATTCATGACCAACATCGTGGCATATACTACATTTGACTTTAATCATTGATAAACAGACACTACAATTATTTGTAAAATTTTTTTGCCAAGTTCCACACTAAAACATAACATTATAATTTAATTAATAGACATATTTAAATTGTAGGTACTTAAAGATAATTATAATTAGTCTCAAATACTAAAATACTAAATGCTAATAAACGTAAGCATAAGATATAAGATGATGAACACTGAATAGTAAAAATTACAATATTTATACATGAGATAACATGTTATAAGTTAAAACTATATTAACTATATTCCATTCACGTTAAGAAGGAACCATGACTGAAAACTAGTGCACAGAGATGTGATATCACTCTACTCAGTAGGCTAACAGATGGTAATGTTAGGATAACAGATTAATATTCCCTGACTATCATTGACAAAAACTGGTTGCCATAGAGATAAGCTTTATATGAATAGAGTATACCTACTTGTAAGTAGTAATAAATAAGCTTTTACAGGATGTATTACAGTTTTAGTAATTTTTAAAAATAAAGAATAATTTTTATAGATATAAATGAAATCAATTAATCTTTCAGTAAAATTTTGTTAACTACTTATAATTAATATTATCATATAAAATGTTCTTTAGAACTAAATAAAACTTACCGATAAACATATTTTTTTATTACAACTATGAAAATGATGTCCTTCTACTCCACACATGATACAAATTGGAGGTTTATATTGATCCTTGCAATTATATCCAGTATGACCAAACTGTCTACAAATATTACATCGCATTTTAGGTGTATTTGAATTAGATTTATATAAATCCATGGGGTTTAAAGACCAGTCAATCGGATTGGAACCATATTTTTCTAAAATGTAAATTATTCAGAATATTACTAATTAATAACTTGTTTAAATAAAAATATTAAATTTACCTTTAATTTTGTTTAGTTCTTCTCTACAATCATAATTTCGTTTAGACTTTTGAATTTTAGTATAGAATTTTATCATATCTGGAGTCCATGTCTTTGGGCATCTATACCACAGACTATTTTCAGTTGGTTTTCCAATACGATATTGTTTCAAAATTTCCCTTGATGTCATTGGCACTGCTCGTTCATTATTAAAAGATACAACGTTTAGAGCAACATTATCGGCATTACTAGATTTAGTATTCATTTTATTTAACCCACTTTTCTCTTTATATTCTTTTAATGCATCAGTATTCTTAATAGTGTTAATATACTCCTCAATACTTTCATCATTTACATTTTTCTTTTTCTTTTTCTTCTTTTTCTTTTTTTTTAAGCTTGTTTCAATAAATTCGTCATCAACTATGCTATTGATATCTTTAGAAGTTTCAATATAATCGTCGTCATCTAAAACGATTGTTGGTATAACATTATTGTTGCATACTTCTGATAATTTAATAGGGGAATTGAGAACTATATCGGCTGGATCTTTTTGAAACACAACTATTTCACCATTGGAATTGAACTCTACACCATAGTTTGGATCAATGAATGGTAACTCTGATGTCCCTGAAAAATCGTTATGGTGGATAATGCTATAGATACGAGCTTCAAGTTCTGATTGCGTTTCTGATAATTCACTAGAGCAATCACTGTGTTTGTCAAATAAATCTGAGTCCATTTTCCATTGTTTTCAAGCACAAAAATATAAGTAGTAATCTTACCCTACAACAAAACTATAATGTTAAAAAAAAACTAGTCGATTCGTGTAGCTGAATGAAATCTGCATCCATTTTACGGTTGAAAACGAATTATAAACGTTAATTGTGAATATTTATCGAATGAAAATGTATAAAATTCTATGTAAATGTTAAACAAAAAATACACATATTTATAACAAACTAAACAATCACAATTATTTACCGCAACTAGAATACTAGACTACACATTACACATTATGATTTATAAATTATAATCTTAATAGTCTAATGTTATGGTTTCATTGTCATTGTTTCTGATAAAGAATTTTCACAATAATAATAATATATCTATTACGCTCCAATTATTTGAGGTTATGTTGTTCTGCTTGTAACCTAACTGGTACAACTATGATTTTCATAAATTGTTACTACAATATCCCAAATAGTTGAAAAATATACCTGGATTAGATAATTATGAAATATGATTGAAATATATTTACTGTCAAAGACAATAATATTTGACTTAACTTTCCCGATGTTACAATATAGTCAATATACACCTAAAATTCTAATCCTTTGCCAAGATAATATTCATAGATTATTTAATCAAATAACCATAGTTATACCAGTAACAATTAACTACTTGTACCAAGATTTACCAAGATAGTACTATCTAAATTGTGATACTTTAAACTTTAAAGTTTATCTTTTTGTCACTATAATATAAATATTACGATTTACGAATTTACGATTACGAGTTGAAACTAATAATTACTAATTAGTAATTAGTAGTTGGTACTTTAACCTTAGTACTATTACTTAAAAATACTTAATTTTTGATAAAAGCTATTCTTTTTTTTATAATTTCCAAATCATTAGGGTCGAGTTTAATAATATTATGATGACGACGATATCCAAGGGCGTAGAAAATTGTATTCGTATGAAATTACAAAAACGATTCAATCCAAAAGTGTTGCAACTCATCAACGAGTCACATATGCACAATGTACCAAAAGACTCAGAAACTCATTTCAAAGTCGTCATTGTATCCGATGAATTCGAAGGCATGCCCTTGATCAAGGTATAAGGTTAAGAGGTATTTAAGTGTATTGCTATTGACCCTGACCGAAACACCAAATTTTACAGAGACACCGTTTGGTAAACACAGAATTGACGGATGAGCTCAAATCCGGTGTACACGCTTTGTCTATAGTGGCCAAATCTCCGAACCAATGGAAAGACGAACCGGTCAAAAGTAGTCCCAGTTGTCGAGGTGGTTTTGGAAAGTAAACTTTATCAGTACTAGAATTCGAAGAGGAGGTTTACCTTTTACCAAGTGTCATGGATCAGTTATATATTTTATAATAATTTATACTCGTATTTTACATGACATTACACATTACTCATGGACGTTTGTAAATTGGATTGATAATACTTGAAACATCAATATGTTCGCTTATATTTATGTAAAAATAATTATAGAAAATCATTAAATTGATATATATTTACAAATATTTTATTCATAGTAGTTATATAATATACAAATACACAAGAAATAGAGAGCAAAAGAGTTTCTATTATAATTAATAATCTTTAAGATTGAGAATTACTTAAATTTTCTTATCACCAATAGTCAAGATACTGTCATGATTATTGATTACTGCTAAAGTGCTAACGTAAATTTCTTGGATTATAATATTTATAGAGAATATACCTAACAAATAAAATCATTGTAAAATATAAATTACATGATCTAACATCTAGGTATCTCATGTAATTCTCATCAATAAAAGATCTTCACGTCGTATATTTAATAAAATAAAATATTATTAATTTATATTTTAGCCGTAATAGTAAAGTAGTAATTTATGAATTAAATGTCTTAGTGACTTTAAAAAATAGACAGATTTATATCTGTTTCAAAATAAAACAACGAAAATTAACTCGGATGTAAATGGGAGTTTGTGTGTAGCCTTAATGGATAAGTGAGTATTTTTAATTTTTTCCAAGTCTGATTTGTTATAATTTTCATTGTGTGCCATTATTTAAATTTTAGAACTAAAGAAGCTATGGAAGAATTACAAATTGAAAATCCAAATGATGGAATTTGTGATTGCAATGATGAAACATGTATAGGGTGCTTTTGGCCCTGTGAATCATGCACATCGAATAAATGTGGACACCAATGCCGGTTAGTTAAATATGAAAACAATAAAAATTTAAAATAGGAAATTGTTTATTTTTAAGTTTGTTCTTTTAATGTAGATCTTGTATCACTTATATTAGTAGCTACTTATAATGAATCATATTAATTTTATTTCAATTTGTGTGGTAATGAATGTCACTATCTTTTTCCATAAAAAACTAACAAAATAGTAAAGATAATTGATAGCTTTTATAATTTCTTTATTACAATAAATTATAATATATTCATAGCATTATACCATAACTATTTAATTATAAACCTGATTTGTATACACTTAAAAAGTAATATTGCAATTTGTATTCATATTTATTAATTTAAAGAAAATAATTTATAAAATATATACGAAAGTCGCCAAATTATTTATTTATATACTTTTTGAACTCTTCATACTTCTATACAAATTCATGAAATAGATGCAATGATTAGCTAAAAAATATAATAATAAAAAAAGCTACCTATTTAAACAAATGAGATTAAATTTATTATTATGTATAATTTCTTAGTATTTAATCATAATAATATCTAATCTAAATTATTAATGCTTTTTGCCTTTTACAAACACTTGTAGAAAAATCTCAATAAATATCATTATCCTCAATGATGAATATGATTATAATTTAAAATTCATTAAAATAGATTAAATTGTTTGATTGTAGACAATAGACATCAGCATGAATAAAATGTGAAATTTTTCAAATATAGTGTTATCTTTAAGATATTATTTTTAATAATATCTAATATGTAAAATTAACTTTTTTATGTTTATTTTCTATTGTAAAAATTATATTCTATAATTTTAATTTTAATTGAACTGCATACACTTAACACAACATAAATGCCCTATGCTAATTTAGATACTGATTATAATAATTAACACATCTATGTTCAATTCCATGAAGTATTGTTTTATTTTGGTTGTATACAATTTAATAGAACAATCAAAGTCACTGAATCTCGTTTATTTGCTCATTGATTCATTAAATGTTCAGGGATAGTTCATGCAATCCAAAATTATAAATTATTATATTATGTTTATTTTATTATAATATTTTCAGCATCAATCGAGAATGGAAATATGAAGTATGGGAAAGACAAGGAAGAAATAATAAAAACTAATTTGTATACTAACTATGTAAAGTATAAGGTATAACTAAATAAGATATAATTGTGTAATATTGTTATTATTTTTTTATTATTATTATTATTATTATTTACTAAGTCTTTTCTTTTAGATTAGGTTTTTCGTTTGAGTTTATTCAATTGATAGAAAAAAATAGATAATTATCAGTTTTTAAATGTAGGATTGAATAAATCTAACTTAAGTTTGTCATGATAAAAACATAAATTCTATCACATGTGCTAAATTGTATAAAATATTAAATGGATAAAATTCAAAAACTATATTATAATGCATAATTTTAAGTATTTTAGATTAGAAATTTGTTTTACTAATGTGTATTAAATTTAAATTGTTTTGATTTTTTGTAAATATCATAATTAGCATTTTAAAATATAACATCAAGTCTAAAAAAACTGGAATATAATTTTGGTAATAATATCAATAAACATGATTTAAAATTATAAACAATTTTAAACTTTATACTTTTTTTTTACGCCACATCTGAAATGTAATGTATGAAAATTTCAAAGTTTGCTAATTACCATTAAACATATTTACATAATTATATATAGTGATTAACATCCAAGTAATGAATTTATTTTCTCTCATTGCTAGTAGGATACCTATAATTATTTATACTTCTGTTCATTTATTTGTTAAAGATTTCATTTTAATACATGTAAAATATGAATATGTTTTATAAACCGTTATGAATATAATGCTATTTGTGAAACAGCTTACAAAACCTTTTATTAAATATCCATGAAAACATGAAAATTTGTCAAAAATGTAATAATTTAATTACACAGTATTAGTTTACTAAGTATATTATATATTTTTCAATAAAGAATTCAAATGTTTTACTCTATAATTTTTTTTTTTTCAAGAAAACAATTGGTGAACATAATGGACTATAACAATGTTACCTATGAAGAAAACCTTTGAGCATATTAAAATATTAACAAAAATTATGTTCTTTTAATATTTTTTTATTTCTTATTCCAGAGTACTGACTCCTAGGTATTACCAGATTGTAAATAAGATAATCTTATTTTTTTATTTATTTAAATTCTCATTCACTAACAAAATTTTATAAAATAATATATTAATTATTAATAATAAAAAAATACGTAAAAGTTTTACAATAATATAGTCATAAAGTACATTTAAAATTAAAAAAAAAAAAACCAGAATTTAAGGGTTAAAATTCTTTGCTGAACCCCATACACATAATAGCCTAGAGGCTATCATTTAAAATTAAAAAATGTAAAAAAAAAAACATACGCAATAAAGAATTACAAATATATACATTTTTAAATTTTTATAAGTGCATTATTTATTAAAATTATTATTATCATACATTAACATTATTGGAATATTTAGCCCAATCATTATTACAAGGTTCTAATGGTAAAACCCAACCCACAGGAATACTGCTAGATGCTGAAACTTCGTTTTCATCAACAACATATTTATCCCAACCTCTCCTATATTAAATAAAATAAATTATTTGAATATTTAATATTAAATAGTAAAACAAATTAATAATACCGTATTTCAAGGAATGTATAATTATCAACCACCATTTCATGAGATCTACAACTTGGACCAAAAAGAACACGATCCCATTTTGCTAACTTTTCTTGAATTTCAATTCCTCGTTTTTCATGTTTTTTTGCTTCGGCTTCAATAAGCATATTTTTCAATTCTTTTTCTTCTTTATTATAATCTGCTAATTTTTGCTGCCAAAGTAATTTTAATTTATCTACAGCAAATAAATATTACATATAATTAAATATAAATAATATATATTAATTTAATTATTAATTTTATAATATACTTAAGGAATTTTCTAAAAGTGGATTTTTTCTTTTATTAACACAGTTATAAAGTCTAATTTTTCTTAATTTTTCCAAACTATCTAACAATGCTAGCTGATTTTTTGCATCTTCGATTTTTCCTTTAACCCCTTTTAGAACAATGTTGGCTTCAGTTTTAGTTTTGTTAACCTAAAATAAATTGTAATTAATATTAAATTATTAAAAAACAAGGAATTAAAAAATATTACTCTTTTTTCTTTTAGAATATTTTCTTTTAAAGTATTTTGCCAAGCATCGATCTTTCTACTTATTTCTAGGGTTTCATCTTTTTTTTGGGATTTAATTAGTCTTAGGTTAGATTTAAGTCTCTTTAATCTGTCCCTTTTTTTCTTTCTCTTTTCTAATCGAAATTTTAACTCAGACAATGAATCAGTATCAAAATGTAATGTTGTTATAATAGAATCGATTTGTTTCTGAAAAAGAAAGAACATGGTAATTTATTTTAGTTTCATTAATTACTGTTATTTATATAGTATTCACTTTATCTAAGATTAAATCGGAAAAAGTTTTATCCCATTCAGTTTTTGTCATAGTTGATATATTCTGTTCCATAGTGGTTTTGTTATTATCCATATTTTCAAGTAATTGTTTACATTCTTTTACAATATTGCTGATTTGATTAATCTAAAAGAAGAAAAAAAATTAGTAAATATCTAACAAATATAATAAATATTTTAGGAATTTACTTCAACTACATTTGTTGATTTTACATTCTTTACTGTTATATCTTTTTTTTTGAAGGCTAACCACTTTTCAATCCAAATAGTAGTTTCGTCTTTTAAAGCTTTTGGTATAGGACATAAATGTTGAAGAATATATTCTTCATCAATATCATCCGGAAGAGATGAAAATGAATTGCTTATATTTTGATTGGATGGTACATATTGTTCTTGATAGTATTGATTACTAACATTAACACCATAAGGTATATTATAGTTTTGTGCTGGTGTATTAAATGGCAATAGAGGTGGGTGAATACAAGGTAAATTATAATCAAAAATATACGCTGGTTGAATGGGTTGAGGTGGCATAATAGGAGGTGGAGGACATGTTAACCAAAAGTTATTAGTATTTGCCTCAGAATATCTGTTATTATGAATATTTTGTTCAGACATTTCAGGATATTAGAAAAAAAAGTTTGAATAGTAGTTTTAGTTAAGAAAAAAAATGTTAGTGTTTTAAATGAATGAAAAAAGAATTATAGAAATTAATTAATTTCTTTTTCAGCCTCAGCTAAAAACTTTTGCGCATTTAAATAATCTGGTTCATCTTTAAGCTCTTCACAATCAGCTACAACACTTTTCAAATCTTCAAATGCAGCTTTTAATCTTCTTTGAGTGTCCGGTATCATCATCTGTGACTCTCTTAGTACTTCTTCTTGTTTTTTAAATGTACTTTCATCAATTCCTGTAAATATTTTTTAAATATAATATAAATTTTGTAACTAAAAAAAACAACAAATATTAACTTATTTTCAAAACTATTTTGAATATAAATTTTAAAATAATTAAGCAGTGATATAAAACTGTATTAATCTCAATTTTTTTTTTGCAATTGAATTTTTTTAACTAATTTCAGGTCACTAAATTTATTTAAAATAAAAAAATTTTAAGTTATAGCACCAAAGCAATATCACGCTTGAATGGACTTAAAATTTATAAATATAATAGATTAGTAATGTATGAATATTTTATACTTAAATTAATAAATTGTTTTTTTTTTATATATAATTTTGATTAGAGCACTTTTGAGTATTGTTATTATTTATCATAAAAGCTTGATGAAGTACCCTGGGGAATAACTATATGCTCCTTTTCATTCTCATATGAAATAGATTAACTATCAATGTCTAATGATTTATTTACCAAAAAATTATTTTTTTGGTGGGAACTTGGTTTGTTAAATATGTTATATTCGTCAGAAAAATCAAATTCGTCTTCACTTACGTTCCAATAGACAACTTATAGTGCAATTTTCACTTCATCAATAAATTCGTTCATTCAAAATTTTAAATTAATAACTTATCTAATTAAGTCAGAAATAGTATTAGGATTAAGAATGTTATACTGAACGAATAATAACACTATGGAGAATAATTCAATGTTATTCTTTACTGCAATTTCAAACTTGATTTTAGATTTTAAAAAATAATGAGCTACACTAGGTTAGTAAGTCAATAATACATACATTGAACTTACCAGCCTCTTTCAATTTCTGAACTTTTTCCTGTTGTTGTTCTGTTTCTTGTATATACATAAGTTTCTCTTTTGTTAATCTTTTCACTACTCCAGTTTTGATCTTTAAAGTCTTGATACGAGGATCAGCCATTACTATACTTTCTGTAAAGATTAAATAAAATATACGCGAGAGTAATTAGGTACCTTAGAAGAGCACAATGTTACGAATTGTTAAAACTTGATAAAAATATTATACAATTAAGCGTCTACTGTATAAGAAAATAATAATTGTGACATCTAAAACTCCAAATAGAAATCAATTATCACAAATTGACCACAAAATTACAATAATTGTTAATCCATTACAGAAATCATGGATTTATGAATTTCTTTCATAAATATAACCTAAAAACTACATGAAATTATAAATTAAATCCCGTGCTACCTACTACGAAAACGCCAAACGGCTATTATAGCCTGCTGCTGTTACAGGGATAACGATACAATAGTCACAGTAATAAAGTATTGTTGACCGTGTTAACCATGATTATTATCAAGTACTAAAGTTAAAATTATTTTATAACTCCAATTTTTCACTTAATATTATCATAATTGTCGTGGCTAACTAGTAACTGTTAACAAATAAAATGTCAAAAATGATTTATTAAATTGATGATATCAAAAAGGCGTACAAAAAATAGACGTGCATATTGTAATAATTAATATTAAATTGACGTCTCAAAGTCTAAATATCTTTTGAGTCTACGTTATTTCCTAATTGTTATAGTATTATTAATCATTACCCTTTACATTAATTTACATATTTAACGTTTATTATTCACAAACTATCTTTAAATTTATTTTTGTGCTCATAACTAAACATATTTAAAATTATGGATGTAGATGATAATTTCCCAGCTGCTAAGCGCATCATTAATGAAATTCAAAGTATAGTCAATAGTGATTCAAAACTGTGAGTATAAACCAATTCAGTTTTTGTGTTATTGAGGTGTTTTGAAAAATCATTATAGTTTCACTAATAAAAATAATATTTTAGGAAAGAATTTGATCTAGTCATCCAACCAGAAAGTCAAAATAAATCTCCAGTGATATATGTAGACCATTGTTTAGGTCTAGAGTCGTGGTGTGTACGTCATGTATATGAATATGTCTACCAAAAACTTATTTCTGTAAGAAAACGATTAAAAAGACAAGGTAGCACTTTTGTTAATAAAAAATTAACAAATAAACTTATTGTTTAATGTTGATAATTTTAAATTTGTATGCGATTTATAAATATATGTATTATATTTTATTTAGTATACAATGAAACAATACCATTGCTTACATCTGCTCTCTTATTAAATCCAGAAGTCTTGACATTTTGGAATATGAGACGAGAGTTAATTCTTGATGGATACCTGAAACCAGATGATGAATTACGATTTTCAGCTGTTGTTTTAACATTTAAACCTAAATGTGCTGAAATATTCACTTACAGAAGATGGATATTTTTTAACATTTTAAAAGGTAAAACAATTTAGATAACTATTATTTATTAGAAATAAATAGTATACATTTCTTTAAAATCTCAGTTGATATTCAACTCTATTAAAATATTACTAATAAAAGTAATAATATTAAATTTTATTTTAATAAAATTTTAGTAACTTATTGAAATATTTGCATCAAAATACAAAATAGTTAAGCTCTTACAATACAATATTAAATTACAATAAATAAGATGAAATCATTTATCAAATAATAAATGTTAATCAAAAATTAAAAAATAGTCCATTATCAAATTTAAATATTTATTTACTAGTGTAAAAAATTATACAGATCTTGATCACAGTACATAATACAATTTTTTAAATATAATAAAAATATAACATTAACATAATACAAATACAAAACATAACGTACAATAATTAATAATCATAAAAATCATATTGGTAATTAATGAGCTAATTAATATAAATTACAATTAAAATAAAATAATACTATTACATCATAAATACTGATTAAGTATAAAATTATGAGTTTGAAAAACATTCATTCGAGGGATACAATTCTTGTGTTAAAAAAATCAAAACATTTAAGATATTATCAATGAGGTAATTATAACCATAAAAAGTACAGTTGGCTGAATTTGAAAATATAGGATAATGACTCAATAGATATTTAGGGAAGTTAAAATGTACTGATTACAGTAATCGAGGATAAGATGTAAAGCCGTTTAAAAATTTGAACATTAAACATATATCTGTAAATCTACACCTAAAGGCTAGAAATTCTAAAATAAGAATAGTTTAAATGTTTATTTTTTTATAATATTCCTTAAGAAAGGGTTAAGAACTACATTACAATTTTTTTATTAACAAAAGTGGTACTAAAACCTTCATTAGACTATCAGGTATAACGGTAAAAAATTTCAGCCAAATCTGTTCAGTAGTTATCTTGGTTAGCACTGTCGTAGAAAACCCCTTACAATTTTAATAAATATAGTATAGATAATAGATAATATAATACTTAGGTACTAAGAACTAAATTCCATAAGTTATACCAACAATTTCAATTTTTTCTTGATGAGAGCTTTACTTAAAAAAAAAATTATTACTCAATTTATTTATATTATTAATTGGTAGTTGGTTTTAATTAAACTATTATAATAATTGTGAATATGTTGTATTATTGGTACATAGTTTCCTATTTTAAAATTCAAAAGTACATCTTTCATGGATTTATTAATCAAAAAAATAAAAAATAATAATAGTATATTAAATTTACAACCCTGGGGATGACAGATAATAAACATATAAAAAAACTTGTTTTAAAACTAATACATTTTACATTTTTTTTCAAAATTTAAAATTAATTCTTAATAACTGTATACAAAAGGAAAATATTTAAAAATTACCCTAAAAACTTTTTAAAATGAATTATTGTACATAAAAATAAAACACATTTATAACTTGTATAATAATCAATCATATACTGAAAAATATGTTAAACATGCAGTACATTTTTATCCCTACCAACTCTATTTATTACATTGTTTAATTTGTATTAGACATTATTTATAAATATAATACACAAATACTTTGTTATATGTGGTGGGTTATTATGCATTTAGCCTTTTGTATTTTTTTATTATTCATAAATCATAATTCATAATATGTTGTCTATTTGATAATAAGGTATTTTGACTATCTAATCTAGTGGTTCTCAATCTTTTTATACTCATGGTGCATTTCTTATAACTATCATATAATCATCCTATATTTGATGGAACACTATAGTAATAAAATAATAAGAAACAAAAAAAAGACATTTTAATTTTAATTGTTATCTTTTATTATTAATATGTTATATAATTAAAAACTTAATGTGATATTTGGCTTTTTTTTTTTTTTGTAATTTGACTGATACGACGACACTGTTTCTCTCATTTTTTCTTCTAGTCCTTGGATTTTTTCTTTTTTCTTGATTGTAATATTTATTAGCGTGGAAAACCCTAACTTGCAAAAATATGAAGTCGAGAGTTGCAACAAAATTACTAAAGCTTATTCTGATATTTTTGAAAATTATTCTTTGATTGATATCCAAAATTAAGTACTGAGAAATTTCTATTTTTAATACCTAATAATACTATATGTATGTACCACAGTTGCGGCACACTAGTTGAGAAACACTGAATTCTAATCTAACCTAGTTTTTCACATTGTCAACAATATGTACATCTTAAAATTAGATGTGTAATTAAATCAAAATAAACATAACTGTACAAATAGTATTATATCTTAGGCAAAATATTTATTTATTTATTTTTTACATATTTGTTTATAGATTTTAGCTCTAACCATATTATACGCAATGAGTTAACCATAGGATTAACAGCTGCTGCTGGCTATCCAAGTAATTACAATGCATGGAATCATTGTTTTTGGTTTATCCAAAAATCACTTGAACAAGACAACTTTTCTTTGATTTCCCATGAATGGGAAAAAACTAAAATTTGGTGCAGTGAACATGTATCCGACCATAGTTGTATGCAATACAGACAACGATTACTTAAATGTTTAGTTGCTGATAAAAGGTGCTTACAGCACTTAGAATGTTGTACATCTAAATTACTTATGCGGTTTTTTAATTCTGATGAAAGACATAAACTTATGAGGCCATCAGAAGAATATTTTGATGATGCTATTGGTGTTGCTTTAGATGAATTATATTTCAATGAAGATCTGATTGTGATGTATCAAAATCATGAATCTCTATGGAATCACCGAAGGTTTTTATGTTATTTATTAGTTAATATTTATAAAATTGATTGTATTAAAGAAGCATTAATGAATAATGAAAAAAGAATTTCTACTAAATTATTAAAAAGTAATGAGTTGTATGTTAAAAAACATATTTTGTGGCTTCAAACAGTGTTAAGCATTCCTATAAAAATAATTTAACTTTAATAACTATTATAAATTTATTGTATTGATTAAATGATATAATTGGATACTTGTTAAAATTTAAAAATCAAAAATGAAGAAAATGTGACAAATAATGAGTGAGATTTTAATTTTTAAGTTAATATTGTAGTTAGTAATATTTATTTTTAGATGTAGTAATAATTTTTTTTCTTGATTTTATTTCTGGTGCCAATGAGACAGTTTTGTACAGATTAGAAATTGTATTTATATTAAAAATGTATTTTACATTGTGTTGAAAATAAATTAAGTGGTAAAACTGAAATGTATTTTTGAAAACATTATAAATTTAATAAGATTTCCATCAATTGTAATTATTTTAAAAGCTCTTGATGGTTTATTAATTTATGTAGTTTATTTATCCTAAAATTAATTATTACAATATAAATTAATCACTAAAATAAATTTTAAGATAGTTATGCTTATTAAATGTTAATTCTTAAGTTTTAACATAGAAATTAAACACTGTGTAGGAAGAATTCTATTAAAATTAAAATGTATGGAGCTGAAATTAAATATTATTTATTTTTTTTTTTTTTATATTAGAAAATATTTTAGCTAGATACTATTTTTATCTCAACTATTATGGTTAAGTAAGAAATAGTATGTGTGTTGCTAAAATTCCCAAGTGGTCACCCATTGAGGAATTAGCAACAAACACTGGCGCGTCCACTGCACCATACCTTGCCACTATTATTTATTTTTAGTTTTAAAGTAAATTATATTAGTGAACATTTTGCATGCAACATAGGTGTTTTTATATGTTTATTCTATTTTCTACATATCTATCAATCTAGTGATGCAATAATAAGTTTAAAATAAACTTATTTTCACCTTGATGTCCAATTGTGAACCATTTAACCTTTGACAATCACCTAACTGACCAATATGCATTAAAAACCAAATATATCTAAATTCAGTTGATTGAAGATTCTTATTAATTATTATTAACATTATTATTATTAATTGATTATGTTTATAAAATACTCACTTATCAAATAATATTGTTCAATATTTTGTACTGCAATATGTTAAATATTTTCAAGTTGTTTGGTTTAGATTTCATTTTAGACATTTAAAAATTTAATAGAAAACAAATCCATTAATAGTAAAAACATTTTGTGAATTAATGAAGTAGAATATAATTGCATCATAGAATAAACAGTAAACTCAACTTCAATCAAATTAAACATTTAAAAATGTATAAGTATTTTTCTAAATGTATTTTAACTACAGAGCAATGAAGGTTTAATATTCCAGTTACTAGTATATCATAAATATCCTAATTACAATGTATCATAACTTTAATTGCATTACCAACACCAGTTTCAGCTGTTTTAAAAGCTTCCAACGATTCTTCAATTTTAAAATTATGAGTGATTAATGGTTTCATGTTTATTTTTCCTGTGGCAATTAAAGCCAATGCATCTTGATAACTAAAGCAAAATTATAGCCATTAATAAATAATATAAAATTTAATTATTTAATTAATTTGTCTATTGATAATTTACTCATTAGCATAGCGAAAAACTCCTCTAATGTCTACTTCTCGAGATAATGCATTGAATAATGGCAACTGAACATTGCTTGATGCTCCCATACCAACAATTGTTAATACTCCTCCAGATTTTGTTAACTAAAATATAATAATTTATTTATCAAATATGTAACATATTAATATATTATTTAAATATATGCAGCTAAATGCATAATGTTAATGTTTGTAGAGATTTTATTAATTACATACTCAGCTTATGACAAATAAATATTATATTTTAATGCTTACCTCTATTCCCATTTTAATAGTTTGTTGAAAACCACTACAATCGATAGTAACATCTGGAAGCTCATTGTCAATTTCATTTCTTACATTTTCTATTGCTTGTTCGTCTGAATCTCCTCTATTTATTCTGATCGTTTTGTAAGCACCCATTTCTTTGGCTACATTAAGTCGAAATTCTATTAAATCTGTTATATAAATTTTTGTAGCTCCCATAGCTTTTGCAGTGATCAATGTAACCAAACCAATTGGTCCAGCTCCTAAAATTAATACTGTAGAACCAACTTTAACACCTCCTCTTTTGCAAGCATGGACTCCAACAGAAAGTGGTTCTAATAGAGCACCTTCTTCTAAAGATACATGATCAGGTAATCTAAAAAAACAAAGGTTTAAAATTTATAAGAATAAAAATAATTGGTTAATTTTGATCGATATTTAAATAACCTAGTATACAATATAACCATTAGGAATTAATTATAAGTACAAGTGTACAACTAACCAAATTAAGATTATGTATGACTGTAATTGATAGATTGTCAAATGTCTGATAATTAGTTATTAAATTTATACACTATGATAAAGTATAAATTAAAAATAGATATTTAATAAAATAATATTTATTATTTAAAAAAAAAAATCTTACTTATAACAAAAATCAGCAGCATGTACATAGTAACGAGTCAAATTTCCATCTATAGGTGGAGTAGCACAAAATTTCATTTCAGGACATAAATTGTATGAACCAATCTTACAAAACTGGCACATACGACATGGTACACCTGGTTCAATTGCAACTCTATCGCCTATAATGAAGATTTACATACATTTTTTGAAATTTTTGCTATTAATTTAATTTGTACTAACCAACTTTAAGATTTTTAACACCTTCTCCAAGCTTTTCTACAATTCCACTGGCTTCATGACCAATAACCATTGGCTCTTTAACAATATAGTGACCTATAGCTCCATGAACTAAATAGTGAACATCTGAACCACATATTCCTACACGTTGAATCTTCAATAATACTTCTGCAAAATTAATTTATAACTAAATATTTTACAGCAATTTTTTTTAGTTTATATTGTTACCATTATGTCCAGGTTTTGGTATTGGCCGTTGTTCCTAACAGAAGAAAAAAAAGACAAAATCGATTAATTAAGTAAAAAATTGTAAATAATAGAATTAGTAATTTATTATACACTAACAAGTCGTAAATCTTTAACACCATAGAGTACTGATGTCAAATTATCCTTTTCGTTGTTTATACTTGAATTGGCCATGTTAACTAAAAAATATATTAAAATGAATGATATTTTTTGAATAAATTAAAAACCTATCAATAACGACTAATTAATTCAAGTTTTGTTAAAGAAATGTAGTAGCACTGTGGGATATACCTATGTAAACATGATTAATCAAGGTTAAAACAATTAAGAATTTGTTTAGAAACATGTACTTCTAAGATAGTGATTATCTGTACTTTGTACTTTGTAGGTTATCGTTCAGGTTAGTTCAGATAAATTAAATAATTTAAACTTTATTAATTTTCATTGTACAACTACCATTGTTACAATTTATTACAAAAAATTAATTATTTTTTATCTAAGATCCTATTTTTCGTTAAAAACTATCTGTTAATTTTTATACTAGTCACTTTTTTTCGCTGTATAATACTTATTGGTTATTATTGTTATTTTTACTATTTTATTTTTTATTTTTTTTTGGTAAGTATTCGGAAGAAAACTAAAATTACAATACGGTAAAATAAATGCCTAGGCATTAGAAAAAAAAACCCAAATTTTTATTAGATATTGAAATTACTATGTATACATAAACTACTTAAATATAATACATACAGTGTGTTTAAAATGTATGAAAATTTATATTTTTTATTTTTGCATAATCTTATAAACTATAATACACATTTTAGTAGATAACTTTCAAAATATATTTCCCCTTATTTAAAAAAAATAGAGCCAAGATATCAAACTTTGATTTTTAAGCGGCAGTTTTGAATTTTATATTATAGCATACGGGTTTAGAAACAATATATTATGTTAGTTGGTATGGTCGTTATAATAATCCTATTTTAAGGATTTATAATATTAGTTTACTATTTCGTGAACACCGTATAATGGCCTGTATCTATAAAGAATATATTATAGACAAACATGATATACAGTGGCGCTCATCTCTAGAAATACGCCTAAAAACCGTTACTTCTTTTATAATTTAAAATAAGTAGCTACCTACATTATTAAGCATAGTTGAATATTAGAAGGAAACAGTGTGGAACATCAATTATTGTAATACAGCTATAAAGATATGTAGCGGCGTCGATCACGGGTATCAACTGAGGTACATTCCCCTGCAGAACTATTTATGGGTGGGGGTGGTAATAAGTGATCACTGATCTGTGTTTAGTAATCATACCTATTTAAAAATCATCATTTAACAATAATAGTAAGTATAAAGTATATATGTAGTAATAGTATGACAGGCCGCTAGGTCAAATACTATATTATATATTATATTTTAATTATAATATTTGTATTATTTTTATATTTAAAAAAAACTGATTATAATGTAATGTAACTATAAATTTTCCCTGATACTTAAAGCTTGTCGATAAAATAATACAAGTATGTATTAATTACGTTTAAAATGTTATTTTGTTATGCAGTATCTTGTCCGTATATAATTAGAAATAAATAAGGTAGATACTAGGAGCTTAGCTAGAATTTTTTTTTTAATGGGTGCGGTCTTTACACCAACATTTTTTTCCATAACATGGAATTATAGATCGGTGTCACTGTAGATATGTGTAAGTGGGTCCTAAACAAATTCTGTTATTATACAACACCGTTTAATTTAGACTTGTACGCCACAGTACGCGAATTTATAAATTGATCTTTATCTAAAAGTGGCAAGATCATAATTCATAGTTAAACGATTATAATATAAATAGGAAAGACGATATACCTTCCACAGTACTTATATTCTCAAACCTCAATTTGTACACAAATGGTACTTGTATTTGTATAAAGAAGAATTTTAGTTAATTGGTACATACATTTTTAAAAATGAAACAAATATTAGGTACACTTATATTTACTTTATTATTTATTTACGTTAAACTTCAATTTTACAAATGCTTAGAGCCGCACACGCTACAACATAGTGTTTATTCCGATTTTATTGAAAATTGAAGAAATTAAAACAT